GTGCGTTGGTCTCAACTTGGAAGGACCCTACTTCGTGCTGTGGCCACAGGATATGCATGCATATTTACACGCCAACTTATGAAGGCAGGGTATTTAATTTTTCCTTTGATTTTCAGCTTAATTTATAGCTTCAGTTGGTAAATTAAAACCCTTTGGTGTAGAAATTTCCAATTCAAAAAAGAAAACTTTTAATTGCGAAAAAACCCCAAATTAAAAACGTTTGAGAAACAGTAATTAATAATACATTTTTTCAAACAAAAAGTTGCCATAAAAATACTGGATAGTCCTGTCTCAGGATTAAAGTCCTCGCTAATTATGTATCTGCTTTGTTGTGAACCGCATTCCTGGCAGCCAGCGAGACTGAAACAAGTTCAAAGCACACTTTCCCGTCTGGTTCGCCACCCAGAAGACATTCTCCTCACAATTGGGGGCTGCAGGGCACCCAAGTAATTGCTGTGAGTTCAGTTTTAACTGCCCATGGGGCATTTGCTTTAATTAGCCACACGCCAGCAAGCACAAGAAATGCGTTTGAACAAAAAAATGGAACAACCTGGAAAACAACAAAAGACGACACCAAATACGTGCATGCATTTAATTGGCGATGTTTTCCATCCTCGAGCCAAGGATACCACTCCCTTTTTCCTTAACTCTTCCACTAGATGATGTGAGGGGAAAATTCCCGGTTGTAGGGCAAAACCAGAAGACAAGAAAAAGCAATAAAATTTTGCATAAATGACGAAATAAATGACAGCCAAGAAAAGCAACATTGACAAATACGCACTCCAGGGATGGGAGGTTGCAGTGAAAGAAATAGATTAATGTTGGCATCATATCTTTTGTAAATTATGAAGAAAGAAGGACTCTATTTGCTCGGTTAGTTGACCATTTAAGTTTTATAAGCTTGAGTTGGGATAATATGAAGAATAACAAACTTTAAGGCTATTTACATTATTTTTTTTACTGTGCAGGAAAAACAGCTCTTTGGGGTGCCGGGCACATCGAATGTCTCTATGTGTGCACTGAGCTTTAATGGAGAGTCGCTGTGGAAAGGGACGCAGGGCGGGGTGGCAGGGTTGGTGGGCGGTGGGGCACTGGGGAAATGCCGTATAAAAGCTGACGGTCGCTTTTCTCTGCTTTCGTCCATTGTTTGTGTTGTTGTTGTTGTTGTTACTGCTGCTTCTGCTTCTGCTGCCGCTTGTTTATTGACTTTGTGCCGGGTTAGGGGCTGTTGGGGGTGTGTCGTATAATTTGTTTCTACTTTAACCTAACCCTCCCCTTCCACCAATACCCTGCCACAGCCCCCAGCTCCGTGCTGACATGTTGGGGCAAAATTGTGCGCCTCAGTGGCGCTATAGTTACCCAAATGTATCTCGTCTTTTTATTTTCCCTGCTGATACTGTTGCGGTGTTGCCGGGTGCGTTTTTCTTTCTTTGGCAATATAAACAATTTTTTTCATTATTCGCCGCTGCTTCAGTTATGCAAAATAATCAACATGCCAGATTCAGATATTGGCAAAGCAGCGAATAACAAAAGCAAAAGCCGAAAACCCAAAACAACAAAAAACCGCCAGTTGTCAATGGCGAAAATATTGGCAAAACATTCGGAGGAACCGCAAGTCGAGCTAACTGCACTTGAACTTGCCACAAATGCCCGCCACATCGCCGTCCTCCTACATCAACTCGAATTATATAAGGCTAAATAGCGATGGACGTGATTGGGAAACCATAAACAGAATCTATTATTTTATATTAACGTATGGATTTTCTTAAAAATTATGAAATATTACGTATACGTAATATTCTACAGTACTGCTGGGTTTTCTTGGCTAATTTAGCGAAGCTAGACTGTAGACGCCAAATGGCTTTGGAGAGGCAACAAAAAACGAAAAAAAAAAACGCAGCAAAATAAGACAAAATGTAATGACCTTGGCAGCCAAGCGCCAACGCAACGCTAACACACATTTCCACGCAAACTAACAAATCTCAAGCACACACAAACTTAAAAATAATTTCTCAAAGAGCAGCCGTGATGACGAGGAGGCCGCCCCAAGACCAAGACCAAGAACAAGAGCGAGACATTGGCGTAGGCGTTGGCGTTGGCATCTAAATTATGCAAACTGGGAAATTGTGGCACCAACACACACATTCATACTAATGTAGCATCAGGCACACACACGTCCAGCTGTCGCCCTATGCAAATGTAACGGTTATGTGGCTTAAATGCTTATCGCTCCGGCTGACCAACTAACGGAATTTCAATTTCGGCACGGCTTCCAAAAAGCGAGTTGCTTTTTATAGGCGTGTGTTCTTGATTGCCACAAAAACCGTATTTCTCCCGCCGGAGTCGTTTTCCGATTACGAGACAAAAAAAAAACATAACACACACACACAATGAAGCTGAGTGGAAAGCCAATGCCGATCGATTTTCACTGTCATTGGCTCTGTTTGATGCGGATTAATCGAAAACGTGCGTGGGCAGCTCATTCAACTGAAACTAAAACCGACACCGACACCGAAACCGAAACAAAATCGAAGTGAATTTAATCCCAAACAAAGTCGCCAAACGCTAAGCAAATAATACTGATAAAAAAAAGGGTTTGTCCAAGGTGAAAGTTAATGCAGAAACATTAAACGACAAAAACATGATGTATACATAAGTAGGCCTTTAATTAACCGACAATTCGGGGAGTTGTTGTGGCGCCCAAGGCGTTGTTGTGGTAGCCGCAGCAAAAACAAAAGCCCTAACACACCCTCGAACAGTCGAACTTGACTAATACGAACGCTGCAGCACCTAACGGTCAACGACTAAAATGGCCGTTTCCGGTTTCCGTTCAAAACGTCTCTAACGCTTTAAGGTTAGTATGTAAAGTTGGTATTACTTTTTTTTAACTTCTTAAAGATGATTCTTCACTTTTTTAAGATCTTGGTGGTCTTTAATTTATTTTAAATTTAATATTAATGGAATATTAATAGTTTTTCTGTTCAAAGAGTCAGAAACTATCGAAAAACAGAACACTAACTTCCAGTTCGAGTTAAGGAATCTGCCCTGTAGTATAGACATTCACAGTGTCCGTGGCTTTGGGGCCAATCCACCACCGAGCGAACATAGCTAAAAAGGATGTTTCCCCCGGCCTGGGGACAACGGAATTCCGCAACTCACCTGTGCTGGCCCGCCCCCCGCTTCCTCGGAGAGATGCCGCTGCTGTTTTCGGGCTGGTGTGCGGGATCTACCGCTCTGTATATATTGGCTCCAATCGAATTACAGTTTTTCAAGCGAAAAATTGTGTCTTTTTGCAACTGTTTTGAGGCAGACGTACCGGTTCCTTTAAACGTTTTCCCGTATTACCGTTTTTTTGTCTTGTTTTTTTTTTTCTTTGCTTTTCAGCCACTCACACACACTGCTGCTACTCACACACTCGCACACACACACTCACACGCTTAGAACGGCACATGCAGCGGGTGGAGTGCCAGGATGATGGCCAGTGCTTGTGCGCCGACGGCTGGCAGGGCCCCGAGTGCCAGTTCTGTGGCGGAAAAGTGCGGTAAGTTGCTCCCCCTACCCCCCTTTTGCTAAAACCCCAACTGTGATTCACATCCTCTACGTTGTTTTCGACGTTATTCAATCAACTCTCCACTGTTGTCGTTGGTGTGCGAGCGTTGTGGCCTATTTGTGTCGGCGAGGCAACGGTTCAGCTTCATCTCGTCGGACGGGTTCTTAACACCCAGCTCAGCGTTCTGCCAGCTCTCTCCTTCTGCCACATCTTCATCCCGTTCTTCATTCTCTTTCGTAGAGTCAAGGAAGTTCGAGTTAAGGAATCTGCCCTGTAGTATAGACATTCACAGTGTCCGTGGCTTTGGGGCCAATCCACCACCGAGCGAACATAGCTAAAAAGGATGTTTCCCCCGGCCTGGGGACAACGGAATTCCGCAACTCACCTGTGCTGGCCCGCCCCCCGCTTCCTCGGAGAGATGCCGCTGCTGTTTTCGGGCTGGTGTGCGGGATCTACCGCTCTGTATATATTGGCTCCAATCGAATTACAGTTTTTCAAGCGAAAAATTGTGTCTTTTTGCAACTGTTTTGAGGCAGACGTACCGGTTCCTTTAAACGTTTTCCCGTATTACCGTTTTTTTGTCTTGTTTTTTTTTTTCTTTGCTTTTCAGCCACTCACACACACTGCTGCTACTCACACACTCGCACACACACACTCACACGCTTAGAACGGCACATGCAGCGGGTGGAGTTCCGTTAGCACGCAATGCTTGCAACGACGTCCGAACGTGGACTGCTGAGAATTTCGAGTCTGATTCAGGAGCGTAACGTTCTGGTAGAGGGGCGGCGGCGGGTTGATTGGGGGGTGGGGGGAGAGCGCGCCTGCGCCAGTCCGTCCGCATAGTTCTTATCACCCGAGTGGCTGTCAAACTGACGGAATTTACGCGGTTGTTGTTAACGGTATTGATTTTTTGTTGGCTTGCATTCGCTGCACTCGCCGGCCATGGAAGACGGTAATTGAGCTATTGGCTAAAACTACACTAACTACACACTCTTAATCTACAAAATAGTTTATTTTTATTCTAATAATCCAATAAAACATCCCGAATGCCAGAGCGGGTGCTTAACCTGGCAGCCGATGCGTTAACAGTAGCATATTAACATTGTAATCGAAAGCTTGTACGGAAAGCTCTTTTTACATGAAAATATGCGCTGCAGATACACTGCGAGGAAATTTTTACTCTGGATGGAAACTATATTCCACAAAAAAAGTAGGTTTTACAATGTATCATAAAATAGATCATAAAGTAGTAGATCTCAGATTTAACAGTCTATAACAGTCTATTTAACTTGTGGCAGTGCTGCCTATTTAGCGAATATACCGTGAACCGACTGATGGGCAGCACTATAAACCCGTTTCGCAGGGCTGGCAGCACCATTGGCCTGGAAAAGTCATCCGGCAACTCTGCTTAGTGGAGGCTGAAATGATTTCGATGTTTTTTTTTAGCAAACATCGATGGTTCCATCGATGATTCTCCACCTCTAATAAATTGTCAATAACTTAAGGCTGCCTGTTTTTTATTTGTTGTGCAGCCGAAAAACGTTATTTTCGCGAGTGTCTAATCGTAAAAGTGTGAGTGCGTTGCGTGTGTGTGCATTTTGGCCAGAGGCCCTGGGATCGCGAAGGCCCAACGGAGCCCCAGAAAAAAAAACAAATAATTGTGCAATAGGCAATGCGTAAGGACGATGTGAGCTGAGCGCTGAGGATAGAGTCACTCGGGAACACGGAACATCAGCATGTGCCTGGCGGAGCACCAGGGGGACCGTCCGAAAAAGCCCCCAATCAGTAGTAGCAGTAGCAGTAGCATCAGGAGCATTGGGAAGAAAACTAATAGACACCCATCGGGGGACAGCAGCCGAAGCACCACCACCTCGCCCACATTCAATGCCAAGTACAGGCGAAAATGCCTCCTCCTGCTGACGCTGCTCCTATTCCACGGCTGCTTCAGTGGCCTGCATCGAGCCAATGCCTTCAACTGCACGGCGCACGGCGGAAGGTGTCAGAACGATGGTCAGTGCCAGGATGATGGCCAGTGCTTGTGCGCCGACGGCTGGCAGGGCCCCGAGTGCCAGTTCTGTGGCGGAAAAGTGCGGTAAGTTGCTCCCCCTACCCCCCTTTTGCTAAAACCCCAACTGTGATTCACATCCACTACGTTGTTTTCGACGTTATTCAATCAACTCTCCACTGTTGTCGTTGGTGTGCGAGCGTTGTGGCCTATTTGTGTCGGCGAGGCAACGGTTCAGCTTCATCTCGTCGGACGGGTTCTTAACACCCAGCTCAGCGTTCTGCCAGCTCTCTCCTTCTGCCACATCTTCATCCCGTTCTTCATTCTCTTTCGTAGAGTCTCTCCCAGAATTCTTTCACCTGGTGTCCGCTTTCTCCGCCTCCTGATGTGCCCAATACGGATTATTTAATTAGTTTGCTTTGACTTTGAACTTGTCCGGGCAATAGCTCAGCTCATATAGTTTTTTGACAGATGTAGGAGCACCTATACACCGAGAGAAAATTACCTTTCATTCATAAAAATGGGTATTTTTCGATGAACTAGAGAAATTGGCCAGATGGTGATTTCATAACTTATCTTATCAATGGCTTATACATTCCAGTAATAAAACAAACAACTCCCCCTGGTGATCTTTAAATCTAAACAATTCGTATTTTTTTGCCAGAAATGTCGCTGAGGAAGCACCGACTTGGGCTGGCGTCATAAAGCTTATGAAATGGTTTGTTTATGTTTCTTAACAACGGCTATTTGCTCGCCGAGCACGATAAGCGAATGGTTGGTTCTATCTTGACATTAATTAAGACCCTGCCTGCCTGCCTGCCCACCTGCCGCGGTGATGAGCCGCGGAATTTGCGCACTCGAGCGTTGAGGTCGTCGTTTCACCTGCCACACATCGGCGCTGCCACTTCGAAACCAGTTCGTTTCGCAGACCCCTGATCTCGACCCGCGGCTGGCCCAAGCCTCCACTGAATGGTGGATCACGGCTTTTGCCGCCCATAAATTCTGGGGCCCCGCTTATTGTTAGTGAGTTCAATTCCCGTAGTGATAAGCGGCCGGCCGGAGGGGGAACTCACTCGCACGAACGCTTATCAGTGGCGAGCTCTTATCGCCTGTGAATTTTCATGATTCCAGGCCGGAATACCATCTCGGCGTGCCACCCAACTGTCTGTATTTGCACACGATTCGGATTTAAACGGCCTGGAAGCCGCATTCGCCGGCTTTCTATGCAAAAAAACTGGAGAGAAAAACCAGAACGCAATCAAACTGGTTTCCTATCCACCCTCCCTCCCTCCCTCCTCTAACTACTAATGCATTCCGACCCATTGGCCACATGACGAGGGCCTGGTCACCTACTCCCGGACCAAAGCCAAATCCCAGTTTAGAAATCACAGCCAGCTGCCAGCTCCAATATCCAAAGCTGTGCGTAAGCTTAGCGCTCGAGTGCACAGGGAGGAGTGACTCACCGGCTGCCAATGAGTGTGTAAATATATCATTGTCCAGCATTGATTTTTCGTGGCTACCGCTTCATATGGCTACCCGTGTAGTCCGGGCACTGCTGGCGAAGGCTGCATCCCGGCAGTTTCAAGTGTTTGCTCAAAGTTTAGAACTGACGGACAATTGACGCCCACAAGGTGCACGTTCCTACAGCTGAGGTGTCTAAAATAGAGTCTTAAATACAAATTAAACTATATATGATCTTAATTTATGTTTTTTTTAAATTTAATGTCGCTTTTAAAAAACACTTATTTTAACGATTACCTGTTTATAACAAAAAACGACTCGAAATACAAAAACAATTATTTGATAAGCACGTTTTAGTCATATTTCTGATTCTGATAGTGCCTCTTTTTTAAAGGTTTTTAATTTCTGATTACTCTGATTAGACTTTAATCTCTTGGAAAAGATTATTCATTATGTTTCTGGTGAAACTGAGATTGCCCTATTCGTATGTCGTTGACTGTAGGGCTTCTAGACGCAGCACTTATCGGAGCACTCGCTGGGTGTAACGTGAGGCGCATTAGAATGCGGAAAACAACCGAATCCACTTTCCCTGGGCCCACTCTGGCCATGTGAGTTAATTGTTTTAACTTCTGGAAGCAAGCATCATGGAGCAAGTTTGCCAAAGTTTTGGGCTCCAATGAATAAACAACAAGTTACAGTGATATTTGTGTGAAATTAGGCTTGATTTTGGCTCACATTTTATTTATTTATGTCTCGACCTCTCAATTAAAGAGTTAAGATGTCAATTACCCTAATAGTCTCAGCAAGTGTCGCCTTTAATTAATTATAATGCTTTCCAGGAAGACTGTGTGTCCAGACACACCTTGTAGACTTTAAATCTCAGTTATTTGAAAGCGGATGTAAAAAAACGATACCCCAAGAAAATAGTAAGGAAAACAATAGCCAGACAGCAGAAGGCGACTGTCGAATACCCTTCTCAAGTTTCATGTTCCTCTGCTTAAGTCCAAGACTTGTTTCTTGGCCATAATCCGCTCGTTGGCAGAACAGTTGCAGTGAAAATGCCTAAAGAGTGAGGAATTTATGAGGCTGCCCCGCCGAGTCAACAGTTGAGCGGCTTCTCATACACCGTAATGTGTGCCCCATCCCCATCCCCCTGCCCCACATCAATTGAAGATTGCAATTTGCCTGGCCGGCAAATTCAATTATCTTCGCACAGCATCGGGACATCGCCATTTGCATACATACGTGCATGTAGTATGTGGCCACTAGCTGCTCCACTATCGCTGAATCGATAGAGGAATTGATTTATTTTTGCCACATCGATTACGCTATGCCAGCTAATGGATGCCCCTTTCACTCTCTCTCACTATCTCTCTCCCTCTCTCTCTGTGCTTGCAGCATGTACCACCCCATGGGCACGATACACGACGGCTGGGGCAACTATTCGGTGAGTGTCAAGTGCAGCTGGCTAATCGACGCCAGGCACTCGCACTGGAACCGCCGCCATAACTTGAATCCACCACGGACCTACGCCAACATACGGATTCACCTGCGCGAGTTCGCCACCGAGTGCGGTTGGGATCACCTCTACATATACGATGGTGATAGCGTCGACTCCCCCCTGCTGGCGGTCTTCAGGTAATGGACACTCGGATATATTTAATTTTATTATTTAATTTTAAAAAAATAATACTCCTCTTAGTGGCCTCATGTACCGGGGGAACTTCTCCATTCGCCGAGTGCCGCAGGTAGTGGCCAGATCTGGCACAGCCCTGGTGCACTTCTTCAGTGACGATGCCTACAACATGTCCGGCTTTAATCTCACCTACAAGATGAACGGCTGCCCCTCGGACACCGACGGTGGGTTCTTGGAGATTAACCTTTGGATCCAAACAGCCACTAACTAGTCTTGTAATCCTTTTTCAGATGAAGAGTGCTCTGGTCATGGCAAGTGCCGGGAAGGCGAGTGCATCTGCGAGCCCATGTACAGAGGCGAGGCCTGCAACATTGCCGCCTGTCCCAACGACTGTATGGAGTCCAAAAACCAGGGCAGTTGCCGTCTCGACCAGGAACGGTAAGTGGAACTAACCCGTACTTAAATACATATCATTATACATGGACCCTTTAATTCTTTCAGATGCGATTGCTACGAGGGCTATGGCGGAGACGACTGCAGTCAGATCAGCGCCCATGGCGCCTGGACCTCTGTTCACCCCAAGCACTCGCCGGCGCCAGCGGGTAGCGCCTCTCATGGCGCCACTGTCTGGCGCGACACGCTGCACATCGTGGGCGGTGAGTCATACGGACGGGGTGAACTGATGAACACCTACGATTTCAATGGTAATGTGTGGGAAACTGTCCACCCGGAGGATGGCAGCGAGGTGCCAGACAAGCGATACGGCGCCTCCACGGTGATGTACGGCGACAAGATCTTCATGTACGGCGGCGTAATCAAGGGTCAGGGCATATCGAACGAGCTCTGGGCCTACGATGTATCGGCCAAGACCTGGTCGAATATTTCCGTGCGCAGCGATCCCTCTTGCACCGGAATGTGTGGCCCTCTGCATGTTGTGGGCCACACGGCGACCCTGGTGCCGGGATTCGGAGACAAGAACAACTACCAGTACATGGTGGTCATATTCGGGCACTCGCCGCACTACGGCTACCTCAACACCGTGCAGGAGTTCAACTTTGGATCGCGCGAGTGGCGCATCGTTCCGACAAGCGGATACGTGGTGAAGGGGGGCTATGGCCACAGCGCCGCCTACGATTTCCTCACGGAGAAGCTGTACGTCTACGGAGGCATCGTGTCGGAGAGCGAGGCCAGCCAGGTGTTGAGCTCTAGGCTGTACGCATATGAGCCAGCCACGCGGATTTGGACCATGTTGTCGTCGGCTCCCAGTGCCCGGCTCCTGCACACGGCGAACTTTGTGAATCAGGGCCTGATGATGGTGTTCGGAGGAAATACGCACAACGACACCTCACAGAGCCACGGGGCCAAGTGCTACAGCCAGGACCTGCTCGTCTACGATGTATATTGCGACTCGTGGCACTACCACCCGATGCCGGGCCACCTGCAGGCGGACCTGGCCCGCTTCGGTCACAGCTCGGTGGTGTTCGACGACGCCCTGTACATCTACGGCGGCTTCAACGGCCAGCTCCTGAACGATATGCTACGCTACAAACCTGGATACTGCAGCTACTACACCAAGCAGGAGAAGTGCACGTCCGCCCGACCAGGCGTGAAGTGCATCTGGGATGTGGCGAAGATGCGCTGCATAGCCATCACCCAAGTGCAGCGATCGGCCATCTACGGCCGCGAGCAATACGACTACGTGGCGTGCCCGTCCAAGAGCCGGATCACGCTTACCTCCGAGCTGTTGCACGACGTCCACCGCTGCCAGGAAATAAGCAGCTGCCAATCGTGCGTCTCCACCGCTTTCGGGTGCACCTACTGTGGCAATGGGGTGTGCAGCAAGGAGCGTTGTCGCGAGACCACCTCCATGGCTACCGTGGAGTCTTCCACGCAGCTGGCCATCTCCACGATGGGGCCGCCTGTGATTGCCAAGCACCTGGACTCCTGTCCCGTGGCCGAGGACTTCCTCATGCAATCCGTATGCGGAAAACTTCACAATTGTCGCGCCTGCTCCTCGAACCTGGCGTGCCGCTGGGACTCGGAACAGAACCGCTGCCGGAGCTACTCTTCCACGGGGGGATACGGCGCCAATAGGACTCATGACTTGGACGCAGCCTGCTCGCCAGCGTGTGCCACACTCACCAACTGCCAGAACTGCACGGAGGATGAGTGCATCTGGTGCCAGAACGAACAGCGCTGCGTGGACCGCAATGCCTACACGGCCAGTTTTCCGTACGGACAGTGCCGCGAGTGGACGACTTTCACGGCCAAGTGCCGATCCGCTCCCGCGGTGCAGTCTACGGCCCTTAGTGTGGGCAGCACCACCGCCTTGTCCAGCGCCCAGTGCGGATTCTACAACAGTTGCCAGCAGTGCCTGGACGACCCCGCCTGCGGCTGGTGCGACAACGGATCGAACACGGGTCTGGGCAGATGCGTCGTGGGCGGAGCCCTGGCTCCATACGATGATACGGAATGCGCGCTGAAGCACTGGTTCTTTACCTCGTGCCCTCGGTGCAACTGCAACGGGCACTCGTACTGCAACGACCAGCAGCACTGCGAACAGCCGTGCAACAATCTGACGACCGGAGCCCATTGCGAGAAGTGTCGCACCGGCTACTGGGGCAATCCCATCAATGGAGGCAAGTGCCAGCGGTGCGAGTGCAACGGACAGGGTGTCTACTGCCATCCGGACACTGGGAAGTGCTACTGCACCACCAAGGGCATTGTGGGCGATCATTGCGAGAAATGCGACTCACAGAATCACTACCATGGCGATCCGCTGAAGGGCTCCTGCTACTACGAGCTAACCATTGACTACCAGTTCACGTTCAATCTGTCGAAGAAGGAGGATCGCCACTTCACACAAATCAACTTCCGCAACTCACCCGGCAAGCCAGAGATCGATGCTGACTTTACAATCACGTGCAGTGTCCCGGCCAAGATGGACATCTCGGTGAAGAGGGCCGGCTCGCCGGACATGCTCATTTTGGTGGGGGTCAACTGCTCAACGTTCCGGCATCGATTCCCCAAGACGGAGTACCAGTTCGGTCACTCAACGGATGATAACAGCTCACTGACCACGTTCTACGTGTTTGTACACGACTTCCAGCCCCCGATCTGGATACAGATTGCCTTCTCTCAGTATCCAAAGCTCAACCTGCAGCAGTTCTTCATCACCTTCTCCTCATGCTTCCTTCTGCTGCTTCTCATGGCTGCCGTCCTCTGGAAGATTAAGCAAAAGTACGACATGTTCCGCCGACGCCAGCGGTTATTTGTCGAAATGGAACAGATGGCCAGCCGACCGTTCTCTCAGGTGAGCTTTGTTGGGTCATCGTTTATCTAAAGATTAAATTACCAATCACCTTTCACACACAGGTGCTAGTGGATATCGAAAACCGCGAAACTATCGATCTGAGCCTTATGTTGGATGGCATTGGACACCTGTCCAAAAAGCGCAAGAAGGTAGGCGACAATCAATCATAGCTATTGACAGGCTGCTCCAAATTAGGGGCACAATATGAGAGCTTAAATTTGATATTCTTGAAGCGTATGGCGCTTTGACATTCTGTACTTTTATTTATTGATTAATTTTTTTTGTAGGAGTGTCCCAGTCCCATTGCTTTAGAGCCTTGTAGCGGCAACCGAGCTGCTGTGCTCTCGCTTCTAGTCCGGCTGCCCACGGGTAAGAATATTATCTAGCCATAAATATAGAAAAGACTTTAATATTTGTATTCTTTAAATCCAGGTGGCCTTTCTCATGCGCCGTCTGGCCATTCCGCCGGACTGGCAGTGGCCAGCGCGTTAGTCACGCTCGGAAATCCGCGTCGGCCGTCGATCGAACAGCATCCCAAGGAGCCAAAAGCGAAACGCAAGCAGAGCCAGCACCCAGACAGTTGTACATAATAACCCTAACACTATGCATACCTACATAAAATAATAACGCTAATGATAATGATAATAATTACGATAACATATAACTAGCAAATAGGTACAAGTATATAGAATATTTGCCCCGACTTTATTCAACTAACCAACCACACACAAAAAAGGCAAGCAAGCTAGCAAGTTGATAATCCGCAGTTATTATTAATTTAACGCTTTAGAATAGTTCCAAAATGATAAAAAACAAAACAAAATAAGAATTCACAAAAAAAAAAAAAAAAAACAAATAATAATAATAATTTGTAGCAAAAAGGACATATTTATATAATATGTTAAATATATAAACAATTTGATATAGTTGATAGGTCGAGTAGCGTTGCAATAGTTATAAATTTTTAATTTATTTATACTGTGTACGTGAGTTAAGTTCAATGGCAAGACAGCTGTATTTAAATGATTATTGTATTGTATTTTATTTTTTTACTTAACCACATAGCCTAAGCGTGTTGTTAGAATTTATTTATGCAAATATTTTTGAGCTGCATCGCCAGTAGCTGCACCAGACAAGCCACAGAAATGTCGTAAACAAAAAAAAACGTAGTAAGACAAAAGAAAGACATTATTTGATTGTAGCCAAACGTGATGATGACGATGATAATGATGAAGAACTCCAGAAGTCAGCAAAAAGCGATATATAGATATAGACGGAGCAAGGTGACGGAAATACGCAATACTGTGTTCAAAATAGGAATATTTCTGTTTTTTAATCCGTGAAAATATTTACAACGCAAGACGTGAGTGGAACAAGACATAAACCGAACAGAACAAAATCAATGCAAGTGTACATATAAATACGTAATATATTATCGCTATATAGATAGTAGATATACACTCTTGATATGAGAACGCGCCCAAAACAAAAATACATATATGAAATCAAACGATAATATTGTACATGCAATCTAGATGAGATCCAACATTTAACAAAATTTTCAAATTAAAACACAAATTAATCGTAAGGTTTCCTCTTGGCAAAAAACAGTAAGGCAACAAGCAACTTTGAAACGACAAACACTTCACACGGTTATTCAATTCAATTCAATAAAACTCAATCAAACTAAATCACAAATTTACTCGACGCACTCTCTGAAATACTGTACCAAACTGTACCAGAAGAAAACCTGGGAAGAAAACCTTTAGAATCAAAAGACACTCGTCTAAAACTTTTACTAACACATAGATTACTTGAAAGTACACAATTTTCTGCCATGCCGGGATGTTGACGATCGCTTCTGGATAGCAAGACACACAAGACAAGATTTTACATTTATTTTATATATAATATGTATGTATGTTTTAATTCTTTTCCAATTTTTCGATTTTAAAATGTGTGTAGACATGAAAAGACAACTATTCAACAAATTTATAAATACTTGCCAGCCGAGTTCCAAAAAGACCCTCAGAAACTATAACTAATAAACAATGAAAGAAAGAAAATTATAATTAAAACAATTTCTTGTTTGTTATCCAAGAATTTTAAGATCCCCAACAGCAGCAGCAACAGCAGCAAGATATACATAGATAAAAAATCATATATTAGTTTATTAACCAATAAAATGACACTCCAAATGTACTCAATGATGTGACCTGTTTTATTTTCATTTATTCGTTGCATTACACGTATGTACCCTCCGATCCAATCCATCACGACATCCGATCCCAGCTTACAGAACTTTCACTTTCGGTAGCCCGCCGAATCCGAGGTGGGGGATATTTTTGGGGGCGCGGCTGCATGGCCTGATAAACCGGGTAACTGTGTAGTGTTGATTCAGGTCGAGGCCCGATCGAAGTCATCTCGGACCCTGTGGAAGATGTCTTTCTCGTATGCGGATGTTGTGATTGGGGTGGCCCTTTCCCGCCTCTTTCTCCACTTAATTGCTGCTTTCCTACCATTTCTTTCTTCTTTTTGAGAGTACGTTTTCGAACGTAGATGGCAATTTTGTGCGGCTTTTGTATCACGAAATCGCATTTAATTTAATGATGACGATTTTATTAATGAAATAAGAAAGGAAAACGAACTTTGTGCCAAGTCGAAGCTTAGATACACTTAATTTTAATTTTTATGAAGTATTTTTAGGACCAAATTACATATCGATGTGGGTAATATTGGAGCTCCCATGCATTTTTCAAATTTTCAAAGGGGGATTTTGATGCAGATTGGTGGAGAATCGATCTACAAATCGTTTAAGGTATTCCGCTTGAGAATCTGATGATTATTGACCAAGATATAGCCATCGCAGAGGGTCATGTTGGAGCTCCCATGCATTTTTCAAATTTTCGAAGGAAGTCCCCAGAAATTTTGACAAAAAATCGAAAAAATAATTTGTTGCTGGATTTTGATGCAGGTTGGTGGAGAATCAATCCACAAATCGTTTAAGGTATTCCGCTTGAGAATCTGATGATTATTGACCAAGATATAGCCATCGCAGAGGGTCATGTTGGAGCTCCCATGCATTTTTCAAATTTTCGAAGGAAGTCCCCAGAAATTTTGACAAAAAATCGAAAAAATAATTTGTTGCTGGATTTTGATGCAGGTTGGTGGAGAATCGATCCACAAATCGTTTAAGGTATTCCGCTTGAGAATCTGATGATTATTGGCCAAGATATAGCCATCGCAGTGGGTCATGTTGGAGCTCCCATGCATTTTTCAAATTTTCGAAGGAAGTCCCCAGAAATTTTGACAAAAAATCGCAAAAATAATTTGTTGCTGGATTTTGATGCAGATTGGTGGAGAATCGATCTACAAATCGTTTAAGGTATTCCGCTTGAGAATCCGATGATTATTGCCCAAGATATAGCCATCGCAGTGGGTCATGTTGGAGCTCCCATGCATTTTTTACATTTTCGAAGGAAGTCCCCAGAAATTTTGACAAAAAATCGAAAAAATAATTTGTTGCTGGATTTTGATGCAGATTGGTTGCGAATCGATCCACAAATCGTTTAAGGTATTCCGCTTGAGAATCTGATGATTATTGACCAAGATATAGCCATCGCAGTGGGTCATATTGGAGCTCCCATGCATTTTTCAAATTTTCGAAGGAAGTCCCCAGAAATTTTGACAAAAAATCGAAAAAATAATTTGTTGCTGGATTTTGATGCAGGTTGGTGGAGAATCGATCCACAAATCGTTTAAGGTATTCCGCTTGAGAATCTGATGATTATTGGCCAAGATATAGCCATCGCAGTGGGTCATGTTGGAGCTCCCATGCATTTTTTACATTTTCCAAGGAAGTCCCCAGAAATTTTGACAAAAAATCGAAAAAATAATTTGTTGCTGGATTTTGATGCAGGTTGGTGGAGAATCAATCCACAAATCGTTTAAGGTATTCCGCTTGAGAATCTGATGATTATTGACCAAGATATAGCCATCGCAGAGGGTCATGTTGGAGCTCCCATGCATTTTTCAAATTTTCGAAGGAAGTCCCCAGAAATTTTGACAAAAAATCGAAAAAATAATTTGTTGCTGGATTTTGATGCAGGTTGGTGGAGAATCGATCCACAAATCGTTTAAGGTATTCCGCTTGAGAATCTGATGATTATTGGCCAAGATATAGCCATCGCAGTGGGTCATGTTGGAGCTCCCATGCATTTTTCAAATTTTCGAAGGAAGTCCCCAGAAATTTTGACAAAAAATCGCAAAAATAATTTGTTGCTGGATTTTGATGCAGATTGGTGGAGAATCGATCTACAAATCGTTTAAGGTATTCCGCTTGAGAATCCGATGATTATTGCCCAAGATATAGCCATCGCAGTGGGTCATGTTGGAGCTCCCATGCATTTTTTACATTTTCGAAGGAAGTCCCCAGAAATTTTGACAAAAAATCGAAAAAATAATTTGTTGCTGGATTTTGATGCAGATTGGTTGCGAATCGATCCACAAATCGTTTAAGGTATTCCGCTTGAGAATCTGATGATTATTGACCAAGATATAGCCATCGCAGTGGGTCATATTGGAGCTCCCATGCATTTTTCAAATTTTCGAAGGAAGTCCCCAGAAATTTTGACAAAAAATCGAAAAAATAATTTGTTGCTGGATTTTGATGCAGGTTGGTGGAGAATCGATCCACAAATCGTTTAAGGTATTCCGCTTGAGAATCTGATGATTATTGGCCAAGATATAGCCATCGCAGTGGGTCATGTTGGAGCTCCCATGCATTTTTTACATTTTCCAAGGAAGTCCCCAGAAATTTTGACAAAAAATCGAAAAAATAATTTGTTGCTGGATTTTGATGCAGGTTGGTGGAGAATCAATCCACAAATCGTTTAAGGTATTCCGCTTGAGAATCTGATGATTATTGACCAAGATATAGCCATCGCAGAGGGTCATGTTGGAGCTCCCATGCATTTTTCAAATTTTCGAAGGAAGTCCCCAGAAATTTTGACAAAAAATCGAAAAAATAATTTGTTGCTGGATTTTGATGCAGGTTGGTGGAGAATCGATCCACAAATCGTTTAAGGTATTCCGCTTGAGAATCTGATGATTATTGGCCAAGATATAGCCATCGCAGTGGGTCATGTTGGAGCTCCCATGCATTTTTCAAATTTTCGAAGGAAGTCCCCAGAAATTTTGACAAAAAATCGCAAAAATAATTTGTTGCTGGATTTTGATGCAGATTGGTGGAGAATCGATCTACAAATCGTTTAAGGTATTCCGCTTGAGAATCCGATGATTATTGCCCAAGATATAGCCATCGCAGTGGGTCATGTTGGAGCTCCCATGCATTTTTTACATTTTCGAAGGAAGTCCCCAGAAATTTTGACAAAAAATCGAAAAAATAATTTGTTGCTGGATTTTGATGCAGATTGGTTGCGAATCGATCCACAAATCGTTTAAGGTATTCCGCTTGAGAATCTGATGATTATTGACCAAGATATAGCCATCGCAGTGGGTCATATTGGAGCTCCCATGCATTTTTCAAATTTTCGAAGAAAGTCCCCAGAAATTTTGACAAAAAATCGAAAAAATAATTTGTTGCTGGATTTTGATGCAGGTTGGTGGAGAATCGATCCACAAATCGTTTAAGGTATTCCGCTTGAGAATCTGATGATTATTGGCCAAGATATAGCCATCGCAGTGGGTCATGTTGGAGCTCCCATGCATTTTTTACATTTTCCAAGGAAGTCCCCAGAAATTTTGACAAAAAATCGAAAAAATAATTTGTTGCTGGATTTTGATGCAGGTTGGTGGAGAATCGATCTACAAATCGTTTAAGGTATTCCGCTTGAGAATCCGATGAATTTTTCCCAAGATATAGCCATCGCAGTGGGTCATATTGGAGCTCCCATGCATTTTTCACATTTTCGAAGGAAGTCCCCAGAAATTTTGACAAAAAATCGCAAAAATAATTTGTTGCTGGATTTTGATGCAGATTGGTGGAGAATCGATCCACAAATCGTTTAAGGTATTCCGCTTGAGAATCTGATGATTATTGGCCAAGATATAGCCATCGCAGTGGGTCATGTTGGAGCTCCCATGCATTTTTTACATTTTCGAAGGAAGTCCCCAGAAATTTTGACAAAAAATCGCAAAAATAATTTGTTGCTGGGTTTTGATGCAGATTGGTGGAGAATCGATCTACAAATCGTTTAAGGTATTCCGCTTGAGAATCCGATGATTATTGCCCAAGATATAGCCATCGCAGTGGGTCATATTGGAGCTCCCATGCATTTTTTACATTTTCGAAGGGAGTCCCCAGAAATTTTGACAAAAAATCGAAAAAATAATTTGTTGCTGGGTTTTGATTAAGATTGGTGGAGAATCGATCTACAAATCGTTTAAGGTATTCCGCTTGAGAATCCGATGATTATTGGCCAAGATATAGCCATCGCAGTGGGTCATATTGGAGCTCCCATGCATTTTTCACATTTTCGAAGGGAGTCCCCAGAAATTTTGACAAAATATCCAAAAAATAATTTGTTGCTGGATTTTGATGCAGATTGGTGGAGAATCGATCCACAAATCGTTTAAGGTATTCCGCTTGAGAATCTGATGATTATTGGCCAAGATATAGCCATCGCAGTGGGTCTTATTGGAGCTCCCATGCATTTTTCACATTTTCGAAGGGAGTCCCCAGAAATTTTGACACAAAATCGAAAAAATAATTTGTTGCTGGATTTTGATGCAGATTGGTGGGGAATCGATCTACAAATCGTTTAAGGTATTCCGCTTGAGAATCCGATGATTATTGCCCAAGATATAGCCATCGCAGTGGGTCATATTGGAGCTCCCATGCATTTTTCACATTTTCGAAGGAGTCCCCAGAAATTTTGACAAAAAATCCAAAAAATAATTTGTTGCTGGATTTTGATGCAGATTGGTGGAGAATCGATCCACAAATCGTTTAAGGTATTCCGCTTGAGAATCTGATGATTATTGGCCAAGATATAGCCATCGGGTATATAGCCAGTGGGTCATATTGGAGCTCCCATGCATTTTTTACATTTTCGAAGGGAGTCCCCAGAAATTTTGACAAAAAATCGAAAAAATAATTTGTTGCTGGATTTTGATGCAGATTGGTGGAGAATCGATCCACAAATCGTTTAAGGTATTCCGCTTGAGAATCTGATGATTATTGGCCAAGATATAGCCATCGCAGTGGGTCTTATTGGAGCTCCCATGCATTTTTCACATTTTCGAAGGGAGTCCCCAGAAATTTTGACACAAAATCGAAAAAATAATTTGTTGCTGGATTTTGATGCAGATTGGTGGGGAATCGATCTACAAATCGTTTAAGGTATTCCGCTTGAGAATCCGATGATTATTGCCCAAGATATAGCCATCGCAGTGGGTCATGTTGGAGCTCCCATGCATTTTTCACATTTTCGAAGGGAGTCCCCAGAAATTTTGACAAAAAATCGAAAAAATAATTTGTTGCTGGATTTTGATGCAGATTGGTGGAGAATCGATCTACAAATCGTTTAAGGTATTCCGCTTGAGAATCTGATGATTATTGCCCAAGATATAGCCATCGCAGTGGGTCATGTTGGAGCTCCCATGCATTTTTCACATTTTCGAAGGGAGTCCCCAGAAATTTTGACAAAAAATCGAAAAAATAATTTGTTGCTGGATTTTGATGCAGATTGGTGGAGAATCGATCCACAAATCGTTTAAGGTATTCCGCTTGAGAATCTGATGATTATTGCCCAAGATATAGCCATCGCAGTGTGTCATATTGGAGCTGCCATGCCCTTGCCGTACAAGTTGGAGGGTCGGATATGTATCTTAATAAACGGCATTGTTCACTTTCGAAAAAAGCGTACGATACCCACAGATAGAGTATAATTAAAGAAGAAAGCCGACAAAAACGAATGATGGGCAAAAGCGTGCGAAATCCGAAATGAAGCGGAAGTACCCCAAGAGATCGCTGTCAAAACATACATCAGCCAAGCACAACGCCCTTGGGGACCTGCATTGACGTATTTTACATATTATATCCGAAATACTTGAATTTCTGTGCATATCGTTGTTGAGTCAGTTGATTTGGGGGCTAGTTTTTAGGTTTTACCCATCATGAAGCTAATTCTGGCAGACGAAGGCCATCACGCACTGCGTTAAGTGAACTATTGCGCTCCATAACAAACAATAATCGGCATTAACCGATCATTATGAATCAACGGTGGTGGAATACCCCAAACCGAGCGAGAACCAACCCGTAGGTAATGTTGTAAGGGAATTGGAGCATGAATAAGTGTCCACATATGGGACGGACCCAAAACAAAAACCATGTACGCAGTTTATTGAGAAACTCAGACAAATCCGTGATAAAAAACAACATGAAAATCGGTTAAATAAGTTTAAGATATTACAAGATTGTGACTTCAAAAACAATATAAACTAGTTACTCAATTTCCTTGTTAATTGCTTAACTACTTTGCATTTAAAATTAAGATTGAAAACCTGAATCTGTGTTTTTAAAAATAAACTTTTTCGTATAAATATTTTTTAAAACAAACAGAGAAATGCTTATGATGTGGTTTTCTGATTAGTATTAGCCCTAATTTTATAAACTACGAACCGCTTTTAACGGAAATTCGGGAACTATAAACCATTCTAAACGGAAGTGAAATTAGATGGGAAAGTTTTTACGGGACACTTAACGATTCTGCAAAATTTGACCTAATTAGGATGGTTGTTATAAGCCAGAACTGGGTTTAAAAACTTTACAATAATGGGGCGCAAATTATTAATGGATTTTTATAGATTTTCTTGGTTTATTTTCCAATTGGCAATCGTAAGCCAAAAAAATAATATAGTTTAGAGGGATCTTAAGAGTAGACTTTTCAAATCCAACCACATTTCTGTTATTTTGTTTTAGTTTATATTTTAATTAACAATAAATATTTCTTAATTCACAAAGCCTTTTCATACATCTAACAGTTAGCTGGAATTAATTAAATTCAAAATTACTTGAATAGTTAACTTGAAAATATTCGGATCGACCTTGCAACTTCGAATAAAACCCCCAATGCGTCAGAGCCATTTGAAATAAGCTAGAGAGCGCGGCTTTTGGTTTTTGGCTAAGACGGTCGAACCGCGACATGTTCGAATCGAACCTGGCCAGTGGAGGAGCTACTAGCCCACGGCGGAGTCTTGCAAAGCTCAAATGCGCAACGGCCGTCGTGGAGGTACGAATTTAAATTGTCGCCGCGGATGTTGGAAACTTTGAGCCGCGAGAGAGTTTTCGAAGTGATCGAAGTGAAGTGAAGTGAAAACCAAATTTGGCACAGATCTGCTATTTTCTGCTAAATCTATTTGTGTGCGCCTGTGAGTGGGCTGTTCAGTGAAATTCAGTGAAAATTGCAAATTTCAATAGAGCGCTGTGCACCTGGATTAGAGCACATACCGCTTGAAATTGAAATTGAAACCGAAACCGATCGGATAGTTTCACTTTTTATTGGATTAGCCGCACCAACAACTACCCATCCATCTCATCTCAATTAAACAGGTTTGTTGAGCAACCATCGCGGATTGGGGTTTGACGATTGGGGTGCGGAATTCGCGGCTAATTGAAATCGAAACCCGACCCGTAAGTGCCGCTCGTAAAGGTGTCAAAGGTGCAGGCCGTCTCAAAAATTCAAATACTTTGAATTTCAAGACCCTAGCGGCGAGCCTATGATTCAATACGATTCACACACGTTAATTGAGTGCTCAAGGTGAACTGTTGGCATTTACGATCGCTTCGTTCTCCAAAAAAAACTGGAATAACTCAAAAACAAGTAAACAAATACGCGTTCTGTGCAAATATTTTTCTGCTCATTACGAAATTATGTCAGCCCGTAAAGCGGAGTATTAACTCGGCCTGGCTGGCTGGTTGGAGCCCCTCGACGAACCCTCCAAAGATCGACACGCGCAATTTAAAAAGAGCTCTAAAAAAGCGAGTCAGTCAAAAGAAGTAACGACATTAACTGCGCCAGTCCAAGCCGAACCGTTAGGCGTAAGCCGAAAATACCCATTTCGCAAAAGTGGTCTAACTGAAGCTAACTGTAGTCGCAAGACGCAAAAAGTTGGCAATAAACCAACTGCCAAGGGAAAATGCCAAAAATACTCCAGTGTACTCCACTAAAAAGTGGAACACCTAAAGAGCGCTTGGTGTTCCCAGGGGAGTGGGTTAAAGGTTGATTCGATTACAGTCAGTCCTCGATATGCACTTCAGGTGCGATCAGACCTGGGAAAGTAACTGTAACTGCCTCAAAAGTTGGCAGTAAAAATGGGATGGGAAAATCCACAAAAATACCAGAGAGTCCAAGTGTAGGACTTTAAAGTGGAACACCTTAAATTTCAAGTTTCCTGGAGAGGGTGTCGGAGGTTAAGAGCTTGCTGGATCCATTTAATAATTGGGTCTTGAGATAGGGTCTTTGGATCACATTATACTCCACGAGTGATCGGCTTATAGGCTTTTCTAGTCAACTATTTCAAGCTCTAAGCTTCCATGAAATCAATTCAGTTATGCACAGCCCCCAAAATGCTGACATGTGGCCTCATTTCACCAATCATTTAACTTTACACTCTACTAACCGCCGGCCAGGCCAAGCATGTCAGGCAGGGTCAAGTCGAGACCTCCCCTTTGCACCGCTCTAACTCGCCTTGCAATCCATTAGCCACACTTGACTCCTCCTGGCCCAGAGTCAATGACAAACAATAAAGCCGAGCGGGAAGACAAATGTTGAGGTTTTTCCATCTCTCGTTCATTTTGCAGCTTTTTGCATGCGAGGTGAAATCTTTGGCAGGCTGTGGCTGGCGCGCCCAAGTTTGGCCCAAGTTCAGGCAACCAGGCTTTCGTTTCAAATTAGCTGCTGTTGTTGTTGAAGTTTGCAGTGAAAATGCAACTACGAGTAAAATGGCCTCGTTTCCCAGAACCAAGCCAAAGCCCAAAAAACACATGCAGTCGGTTTTTTTTTGTGGGTATTTTTTTTCAGATGTACGTAGTTATTTGGCTGCCAGTTCCGTGTTGAAATTTCATTGTGGATCGGGCCAGGTGTTGGCGAGTTTTCGTGTTTGGCCAATTGAAAAGGCGGCCACTTTGGCTAGTGATTCACAACTTTTTACCCAAAAAGTCGAAATAATAAACAGAGTCCGAAAATGAGAGAAAAATCAAAAGACTTAAGGCACAAACTTTTTCCCCCGCCTATTATGGCCATTAAAGATGTGTTTATTATATAACTATTTAGGCATAATGAGGGAAAATCCTCATTGTCATTAAAGTGGGGATACTCCCAAAAGTGCCTGGAGGCTGAGATATTTTCAATGGACCGGAAAACTTATACACACTTACGCGTACAAGCGCATAAGCGAGTTTTTAAAGAAAAGAAGACAAAAAATAAATAAAAATAAATGATGTATAAAGTTGACTGTTGGTTGTTGCTTTTGCTGTTGTTGGTTGGTGTTGCGATGTTGCCAGTTGCCAAAGTGAAAGCGCAGCGACGTCAACGTCAGCGGCGATGCCTGCGCAGATTAATCACCCGGCCGTAAAGCGAAGACAGTTAGGCCCCAGAAAACAGCCCCACATTGATGAGTTCGTGACCCCTTCTGCCACCACCACATTCAATGCTCTCCATTTACACGGGTTACGCAATAAAATCGCCTCGAATTCTTTGCCCCACCCGGACAATCAGATGCAAATGTATGCCAGAGCACACAAAGCGTGTTGATAGTGAAAGTGTCTAGCTGGAATGGGCCGAGATCCGCTGAAATTTGAATCTCACGGGCCGCGTTTGTGACGTCAAACTTGGGTAGCTCTACAACCGCATTACTCACGCACTCTTCGCACTCACACGATCTCTCCTTTTCTTGTCATTTTATTTTTTTTGGCCACAAACAGGAAATTTTTTGGCAACTCTTGGATGCCCGAACATGGCGCACTATGATCAACGTTGGCTGAAACTCTTCTCCTGCTGCCTTTTCCTCGTTTTGCTGGCTCTGCAGGTTTCGGATGCCAAGCGATCGAACGGTGAGTGCACAGAAAACAATATTTAATAGTTATTTATAAGAATATTAAAAAATAATTAAGAATATTTAAGAGTTAAAGTTTGCATTGTAAATATAAGAATATTAATTTATATCTCTTAGATACTTTTATAAGTTATAGGATTATACATTTAACAGGGTTAACGTGGAACCTTCCAAGTCATTGACTTCCTAAACCAGAATTTGAAACACTTTGTTTTTGTTTTTTTGGTTCTTTATTTTGGCCAAAGCAGTCATTGAACTCTCCACAGGCGAATGTGGACCATTTGGTGGATGTGGACTCATGCCACGCCACTTGCAACTGCATAATTAACGTGACGTGTGGAAATTCGTGTAGAACGCTGTCCATCCGTCTGGTAGGTGCGAAAAATGGCACGCCATCATTAAAAAGCGCTTAGCTGAAAAGTACGCCAGAAACCGTTAAGACCCCGGCTAGAGCCAAAGGGAAACAATGCCGTCTCGGTGGCTGGCGAACTTCAGCTAGCAGCTTTTAGCCAGTTTCCAGCTGCAGCCGCGGACACTGTGTCAGTCGGTCAGACGAGGTCCCAGACCCAGACCCAAGCTCCAGTTCACAATGGGTGAGGCGATAGTACATCGGGAGGGGGGCACTTCTATTCGTACGTACCAGTTTGCCGCTTTGATTTCGTTTTCGTTACGGTTCTGCCTTATACTGGTTTCTGTATACTTTTTTTTCCATTTTTTTTTTTTTTGCCGAACGGAAGCCGAACGAAAGACTTAAGCGACAAACTTGATTCTGCTTGGGAGGCGAGAATAAAAGTCGCGTAAATGACATGAAGTGGCTGCGTATTTTGCTTTTTTCTCAGCTCTTGATTATATTCATCATTGCTGGCCAGCTTTAATTGCCAGCTGCCAGACGGCTTTTGCTTTGTTGTTTTCTTTTCTTCATTCACGACAGAAACCGAAAGCCATTTTCATTTTTTCGACCAACAGCAAATACATATTGATGGCCAAGTCGAGCTCGGGGCGCTGCCAAAAAAAACTTTCATTCAATTTCTAGCGAAAACTCCAGAAAATAAAACCAACAGCCGCAAAGAAAGGCAGTGAAAAGTAAATATATGTTTTTTTTCGGATCGGATGAGCCCAAAGCGGATGTGCGGCCAAAAAGAAATCTCCTCTTTGATAAGTTCAGCGATTAGTCAGCGGTTTGCTTATAAAATTTAACCATATACCACTTGCCTTAGTATGTATACAGTACCCTTAGTGCCTCTGACAATTGCATAACGGCTGGTTGCATTAAATGTGTATCGAAAGTGCATAGGAAGTGACCAGTAACCAGTACCATTGACGCAACTTTGGCTGTCGCAACCCCGAAGGCAGCGTTGCGTGCTGGCCAACGGGCCAACGAGCGGGGGGTGGGTGGTAATTGGGGGCCGGGATGATCACTCACTTTAATTGCATAAGTTCGTCGAGACAATGGCATGGCTCTTCCTAAAGCAGAATGCTCATAGCATCCACAGCCAAAAGCCGTGGCCATTTGAAGCGAATTGCTCATACGCCCCGTGGACAAGCCTTACCCCTTCAACCTTCAGTGCCCCCCTTCACCACCCGCGATGCATACAAAAGGCCGAATTCAAATCTCTGGCCCTGGGACAGCTGCAAATGGTTGCTCCAATATAACAACAATTTCAGCAATGACGCCGTCGGCAATTCCAATTTGTATTTTAAATTTTAATTTTGCAGTCTTCGCATACGTTTTTGTTATTGTTTGGGCAACAGTAGCGGCACGTCCTAAAAAAAAAATAAAAGTGAAATTGTCGTGACTACGATTCGGCAGTTGAATAACACGAAAGTGTGTCACAAACCGTCAACTGTCTGCCTTCCACTCTCCTTAAATTTTGGAGAAAACTATAACAATATTTTTATATTCTGACAGGGTACTTAGTTTTAGAAGAAAAGCATTTATGGTGTCTGCCGGGTTCTGAAGAAAGTGAAAGTTTCTTAATGTAATAATTGTTTTATTAGTATAGAAGGAGTGGTAGTATAGAAGTAGGTATAGAAAGAGTAGATAATAATTAAAAATGTATTAATAAATTTTCTCTTTTAATTGATAATATTTCTCCCAATTTCAGCAAATCTGACAGCCTGTCAGCACCTGAGAAGAGCAGAGACGAGAAGAGCCAAAGCCTTGCAAACAGGAACCGGAGAGCCATCTGTGAGGGTTCCCCGTTGCCAGAAGAACGGCGACTTTGACCAAATCCAATGCCAGGATGAACGAGCTGGCCGGGACTGCTGGTGTGTGGATGAGTACGGAGTGGAGTTGCCCGGCAGTCGAAATGAGACCCGGCTGGGAGTAAGCTGCTCGGAACCGAAACACTGCGCCGCTTCGGCCTGCCGCATGTTCTGCCCCTCGGGATTCGCCCGTGATCCGGAGACCGGCTGCTCCGTGTGCCGATGCCGCGATCCCTGCGACGGACTGGAATGCCCTCGTGGCCAAACCTGCCAGCTGCAGGACGTGCAGTGCAAGTCGGAGCCATGTCCTCCGCTGCCAACCTGCAAAAAGGCCCGATCCCTGGCCAATCTTTGTCCTGCCGGGTTGCCCTTGGCTATCGATGACACGGTCAGGCCCTTCCTGTGCGGCCTGGATCCTGGCAAGCCGCAGTGCCCACCCCTCTACCAATGCCTGGTGGAGTCTGGAAACGACTACGGAGTGTGCTGCCCTAGTGCACTAACCTTCCAAAAGCCCGGCATCTGTCCAGCACCGGATCAAACCCAGTACACGGAACGTACTGGTTACATGTGCGGCTCACCCTGCAGCCACGACCTGGAGTGCCGCAATCTGGAGAAGTGCTGCTTCACCAAGGGCTGCCAGTTCAACTGTCAGCAGCCGGGAAATGTTACGGGCTGCCACCAGGCCAAGGCCCTGGCCGACATCCTGTCCATTAACGAGCGAGAGGGACGCGGTTATGTACCGGACTGTAATGGCCCCGGCGGACAGTACTCTCCCAAGCAGTGCTCCCGCAACGGACTCGTCTGCTGGTGCGTTGATCCTCGCACAGGACATAAAATCAAGGAGACCATGGGCGCGGCCAACAATGTCAACTGCGACGGGTGGGAGAATATGATCAGCCGGTCCTATGCCAGGAGCTTCCAGATGGAACAGTGCGACACCAACATCTGTGCTGCCGTGTGCGAGTATGGTTTTAAGGTGAGTCCTTAAAAGGATGTTCATGACACACAAAATAAAACAACTATTCCACCAGAACGACCACAATGGCTGTCCTACCTGCGAGTGCTCTGAACCCTGCGAAGGATTTAAATGCTCCATTGGCTCGCACTGCGAAGTGGCCACCGATCCGTTGTGCGAGTCAGGATCCTCGCTCTGTGCCTCCTGGCCCGTGTGCAAGCCCGATCTGGTCTACTCGAATCCCTGCGACGTGGGTACTCCTCTTTCGGACACCGCCACCGGAGAGGTTATGTACTGCTTCGAGGAGCGACAGGGTAGAAGCTTCCAGCCTACGGCCTTCTTCGAACCTGAAGCCGATGCTCAATCCAAGCAAGGGCGATCCATGAGCAACCGCATTATGTGTCCAGAGCAGTACAAGTGCACGAAGCTGCACAGGGAGACGGAAAGTGTATGCTGTCCGGTACCGGAGCAGAGCACCATGGCAGAGGACACCACTGGAGCGCGTCAGCAAACCAGTAAGTTAAATAATTTTATTGGAAACTTAATTTAGCTTAAATTAATTAAATTATCTCCCCCTTAGTGTGCGAATACCTTCGCGACTTCTCGGAACGAATGGAGGGCACCGAGGAGGGCATGCAACTGGCGATTCCTTCCCCGCGCTGCAACACCGAGGGCGACTACGAGGGACGCCAGTGCCAGTTGAAGAAAATCAGAGTGACCCGAGCCGAGCAGCGCAAGATTCTGGAGGAGAACACCATCCGCCGCATGAGAATGCTCCTGGCCAGCGCAGCCCCTCCGAAGCGGACGCGTCGAGACTTGGAGCGCTTGAAGCTCTACCGCGTGGATGACAGTGCCCTCAAGGTCCAGGTGGCGGCTCCTGTCATGGGACGCAGTGCAAAGGTGATAGACATGGGCGCCGATCGGCAGCAGGGATTGGGACAGCTTTTCGAAACGGAGTTCAAGAAGGTGGCTTCGGCCACCAAGAGGCCGGCGGAAATCGAGGACGAACTCGTGGAAATCGAGGTGGAACAGTGCTGGTGTGTGGATAGTTTTGGAACAGAGATTCCACAGTCCCGAGGATTTAATGTAACCGACGACACTTGCAAGAATCTGCGTGAGGAGCTGGTCTGCCTGGACTTGACATGCCGGATGGGCTGCGAGTACGGCTTTGCCTTGGATCCGGATACCCGTTGTCCGGCCTGTCAGTGCCGTGATCCCTGCGAGGGTGTAACCTGTGGCTCTGGGAAAGAGTGCCGCGTGGTGGATGTGACCTGCGAGGGCGAGTACTGCCCTCCAGTGCCCGCTTGCCTGCCCAGAAAGCCGGGACAGTGCCCTTACTTGGTGCCGCCAGGTCCGGATAACCTGGACGCCAATACCTGTGCCTACGAGTGCCGCACAGATGCCCATTGCGAGGGATCAAGACGCTGTTGCTCTAATGGATGCGGCACCCAGTGCGTGGATCCCCAACTGAAGACTGCCTGCCAACATCTGCAGGCCATCCAGCTGCACCAGAGCTCCGAGCTGGGCATCCCGGCCCGTCAAATGGCGGTGGCCCAGTGCAATGCCCAGACTGGCCAGTGGGAACAAGTGCAATGCTCACCCGACGGCCACTGCTGGTGTGTCGACTCCCAAGGAGGCATACTGCCTGGCACCAGAGTTAAATCTCCAGCCACACCCGTCTGCCGGGAGAACTCCAGCTTTGCCTGCCCCAAGTCCAATTGCACCCTCCAGTGCGAGAGTGGCTACCACATGGACGCCAATGGCTGCCCCACCTGCCAGTGCCGGAACTACTGCAGCGAGGTGAGCTGTGGCGCCGACGAGGAGTGCCAGCTCATCTCGGTGGAGTGCGTCGACACGCCGTGTCCCAAAATGCCCATCTGTGTGCCCAGGCGAGAGTCTGTATGTCCCGAAGGTAGTCCCCTCCAGCAGGGCGACTTGGACGTGAGCTGTGGCCCGCACAACGAACACGAGGCCTGTCCCACCACCCACTCCTGCCAGCTGAATCCGGTGAGCAATCGTGGCGTGTGCTGCTCCAAGACCCGCGACGTCTGCTTCGAGTCCATGGACAATAGTTGCCTGGCCAGCGGAAAATCGGAGAGGAACACCACTCGCTATCGCTTCAGTCCCAAGGCCAACAAGTGCCTGGCCGTGGTCATCGATGCTGAGGCATCCGCCTGCCAGACCAAGAATCTCTTCCACAATGAACTGGCCTGCAACTCCGTCTGCCCAGGTGAGTGGATTGATTATCTCTTTATGACCATCTTTGGACCATAACACATATCCTTTCAGTGCTCACCCAATGCGAACGACTGAAGCTGAAGAACAGCCTGGCTGCCCAGCGAACGGGCCACTCGTCGGTATGGTTCCAGCCTCGTTGTGATCCCGTCACCGGTCACTGGAGTCCGGTTCAGTGTTTGGGCAAGCAACCCCAGCCTTTGGACAAAAGGCCCCCACCTCATACAGAGATTGTGAGCAGAGCCTTCGCCTCCAATCCTGTGGATGAATCTCCGGGAGTCTGCTGGTGCGCCGATAAGAAGGGCGCTCCTCTGAAGGGAACCCTGACCCGGGAGACCGAACCCATCTGCAACAGTCGGCAGGCACGTAACCGCAAGAACTTCGACTCGAGTGACCCGCTGATGGAGCAACTTATCGCCCAACTCACCCAACTGAATGATGTGGCTAGCGAAGACTTGGACTTTGATGAGCTGGAGGCCAGGATACTCCCTGCCGCTGCCACTGCTAGTGCAGCAGAATCGAGCGTAACGGAAAGGGTGTTGGAGCTGGCCAACTCTCTGTTGGATTCCCAACTGTCAGTGGAGCAGGCTACTCTGAAACCAATGGAACTGAAGACCACCCGGTGCAGGGCTCTAGCGGAAACTGCTCCATTCCCAGTGAGCTGTGACGAGGCGGGCGCCTTCCGGCCTCTGCAGTGCAACGGCAGAAGCTGCTGGTGTGTGGACGCCGCCGGAAATCAGCTACAGGCCTCCCACGTCTTTGGCGCAGGAGATCGTCGCTGCAACCATGTGCCCATCGAAGCAGTCGCCATTGAGCTTCACCTGACCAACAGCAGCGATAGGAGTGTGAGGAATGCCTACGACACGATACGACGGGAGCTCCAACAGTTACTGGGCGAGTCCGTGGAGAACCTACGCGTTCAGGAGAACTTTGACGGCTCGGCCATCGTTCGCTTCGAGCTGCACAACGACGCCAAGGTGGACCTGGCCTTCGCCATCGAGGAGTCCATTGCGGCGGGCGAGTTCCGCCTGGCGGGCGGTCACTTCCGGCCGGACCTGACCCGCTCCCACTTCGTGCACCGCAGTGCTGCTGTGCCTGTGGCTCAGGCGGCCACCGCCCAGGACGAGTCCATTCAACTGGTGCTCTTCATCATGGCCACCAGTTCCGCCTTTCTGGTCAGCGTGTTTGTGGTCTACGTTATGTTGAAACGCGGCAAAAGCCACAAGTCTAACCACTCCTATAGCAAGGGTGCTGACGGATTTGGGGACAAGCCGGTGGACTACTCCGCGCCGATCTTCGTGCTAGCCGCCGGCGACATGGATGCCAAGTTGGATAGCATGAAGGCGGCCAAGGCGTAGACTGTTGTTAAGTTATCTAAATCAATTTGTAAATAAAGAGAGCAAATTTAAGATTTACGTTTAGAGATCCGTGGGGAAGCTGGTCAGAGCTGGCGAGGTCTCGGTCCAAAAAGGAGAAAGCGGCTAGCTAGCTATAGGTATCCCCAGTATCGTACACCTATTCATTATGTTCTAGAGCCCTAAGACGATTAATTTATGAATAAAGCTTTAAAATCGAACAAGTGCGGGTCTTTCTATCTCCAATTCTCCAAAACGATAAGAACCCCCATATGAAAACACCCTCATTTGTCAGTAAATTTTTTTTTTTTGGTTTTTAATTTTAATTTTTAATAATACACGACATATTCGTCCGCCTGTATGAATGTATGATTTATAGAGCTCTGTATCGTAATGACCTCGATCTTAATCATTTAATTGGGCGCACCTTGGGCGTACATTCATAAAAGTATAACATTTATCAATTTTGGCTTCATTTCATGCAACTCGAACTCGTTTTTTTGGGATTTCTGTTTCTTGTATAGAGTGTGTATAGAACAATGCGGATTGGCATAACTATATATTGTTCATATGTATCTTGTATATATGTGTACGTATCTTTTGAATCGTAATGCTACGTGCCAACACAAGCGCCGGCTCCACAAACGGAATGCCGAGCAGCTCTTCTTTGTGTGTTTTTCTGTTAATATCTAAAAAAAATAGTAAAGTTTCTTAAATTAAGTTTTTAGAGTCATCGATAGGTAGATAAAAAAATGCAATACTCATGGATACAATTGGAATCATTTTTGTTGTAGATTTGCATCGTTTTTGATTTTGGAAAAGCATTGCTTATAGATATATGTATATTTATGTAAAGTGGTTCGTTAGACTTAAGGCTTAAAGTTTATCTGAATGCCGATTAGAATATCTGAATGAATGCGTGTAAGATCGTTGATCGTAGAGAAGACTTGGTTCCATCTATTGAGCAAATTGGATTAGTATACGTTCAGCTTAAGCCCTAGATTCACATGCAATTCAAAACGCTAATATCGTAAAACCCGTGTGCATATCTTTCGAATATCATGGCTACCACCCCAAGAGAGATGAGTGTGCGCCAGTGAGTCACCACCGGATGGGTGAGTGCATCCAGTGGCGGTTTCTCTTTCTTTTCGGTTGCGGGGCGGTGTGTGGCGCCCCAAATATTTGGTTACTTGGTTAGTTGCTATTCATAAATTAGTTACTTTGTGTATAAATTGTATGTGTGTGTGTGTAAATCTTATAAAAGAAAATGTTTAGCCGCCAGTGAAAGAAACCAAGAGCTGCGGCCAGGGATGGATTGATAGGATCGTTCTTGTTGGACTTGCGGACGCCTCTTATTTGCCTCCAGCAGTGCCGTTGTTGTTGCTCCGGCTGTTGTTGTTGTTGTTCGCACTCCGGAACGGAATCGACGCGCGCTGATCCTCCATGCGGCCGCTCTGTACCTTCATGATCAGCGAGAAGAAGTCCTCATCGGGCACAGTGGCTCCGCGTCCTGTCTGCCCGCGTGCTGCCCCCTGCCCGGCTGCCTCTGGAGCCTGCGGCTGTGGAGCCTCCGCCTCTGCATCCATTGTGACATTAGGCCGCGGTAGTTCCGAGCGCTGTTCCTCCAGTCGTGATCCCTGGCACCGCATCAACATGTCCAGAAAGGCGTCGTCGGGCTGCTGGGTGGTGGTGGCGCTCCTGGCCAGCGGCGCATGAGCAATCGATCCGGCGTTTGCGGACGTGGGCGACTTCAGACCAGGCAGGTTGGTGGGGTCCACGAACAGCGAGTTCTGCTGCACCAGCGGCTTGCGGGTAGCCCCAGTGGCCACTGCCGGAGCTCCAGCCAGATTGATCTTGATGGAGCAGCGCTGGTCATCCATGCGCTTCGACTGCGACCGCGAGAGCATCTCGAAGAAGTCGTCATCTTTGGCTTTCGTAGCTGCACCACCTGGTGCCCGGTGCTTGTCCTCCTGCAGCCGCTTGCCGTCCGGCGTGATCTTGATCAGGTCCAGTTGCTCCATGCTCTGGCGGCGAACGCGCACCTAAATTATAGATATGGTTATGAGTATGTTCCGGTTTTTAGGGGGTGGGTGCCTTAATTAAATCCTCCCATTCTGGTACACTTCAACGTAAATATTTATTCTGCGATTGGTTCCCAAACACTGCCAGCAGTGGGGGTCCAACATAAACATTTCCAAACAGAAAACACCTGATAATTTATATGAATTTTGAAAAAATAAAGGGCCCGGTTATAGAAACAATCAAAGAATGAATCTGCAGTAACTTCATAAACAAGAAACTAGGCTGCTTCACAGCTCTCTAGACTGCACACCACCTCCAACAAAAGCTGGACAATTCTTGCTAAAATCCCAACCACTTCGGGGTCTTGAAATAAACTTGCTACCTAAGGGGAAAGGTGAACCAAGATGTTTCCAATTAGCCACAAGCCTTCACTTACCATTCTGCCTTGCGAGTTCTCCGATCCATCCGATTGGTGGCCGCTGGCCGAGTGATCCGAGGCGCTGGAGCGAGCCTCCTCCTCGGTGGGCGAGGGCTCCTGTTCGGGCAGGCCAAGCAGCTTGCGCAGATCCGAGATGTTTACACGGGCCGTGCTCTCCCCGACGGGATCGTGCAGCTCCTTGGCCAGTTGCAGATGCTGCTCCGCATACTGCAGGGCCTTCTCATGTCCGCCGATGGCGGAGTGGGCATTGCCGAGCGACCAACAGGCCCGGGCCTCACCAATACGATCGCCGAGCTCCTGGGCAATGGCCAGGTGCCGATTATGGAACTCTATGGCCGTGTTGAATTCGTGCAGCAGCGTGTAGGTGTTGCCCAAGCTGTAGCAACTCTGGGCTTCCACTTCGCGCTCGCCCAGCTCGACGGCCAGAGCGAGGGTGCGACGGTAGTGCTCGGCTGCATCCTCAAACTGCCCCAGGAAGATGTGCGAGTTTCCCAGATTACTATTGGCCCTGCGCTCGGCAGCCCGATCCCCGAACTCCCGGGCGATGCGAAGCCTTTCCTGGTGATGCTCGATGGCGGCCTGGAAATCGCCCAGAAGGTAGTACGTGTTTCCCAGATTGCCGCAAGCGCGTCCTTGTGCGCCACGGTCGCCGAGATCGCGCATTAGCTTCAAGTTCTCCTGATAGAACTCCACGGCTCGGGTGAGGGCCTCTTTCACGTCGTCGCCGAACTTTCCCGGATTACGCTGGCCCAGATGCTTTCCCTTGGCATGGTAGACATTGCCCAAATTGTAGAGGGCACGTCCCTCGGACAGGCGATCTCCGAGCTGGCGGGCCAGGGTCAGGTGGCGTTCGCAGCAGATGGCGGCCTCGTCGAAACGGCCCATTACTTTCAGGGTGTTTCCTAGATTGCCCGAGGACTTGGCCTCACCGAGGCGATCATTCATGCTCTTGGCCAGGGTAAGATCGTGCTTGTGGTACTGCATCGCCTTGTTGTAGTCGCCCAGGTAGAAGTAGGCGTTGCCCAGCTGCGAGTAGATGGCGGAGAGGGTGCGCAGGTCCTCCGTGCCCGCTTGGATGGCTGCTTGAAAAAAGGCCACGCCCGCACGACAGTCGCCCGCCTTGCACAGACGTTCGCCCTCCAAGGCCAGCTCCAAACACATACTGGAGCCCCCGTCGGATCCCTGCTGCGAGTTTCCGTCGTGCGAGTTGCCCCCGCCACCGCCTCCTCCTCCCAGACCAAGGCTGGACACATTCTCCGCGGATGCGGACAGCGAAGACATTCTGTTGCACCTCAGTCTTGCGTTCCTATCCGGATGATCCTTTGACTGCAAATGATGCTCTTCTGAAAACTGGGAGTTGTCCACTTTGGCGCGATGTTTTCAGTGTCCCTGCAGGTGCTACAAAGGTATTTTCTGTTGCGCGACGAAAGTTCGGACAGTTTGCCAGCTGGAATAGGTGAAATTGCTGCAATTAACTGCTCTTTTGTACCGTTTTCGCGATCAATTAGTTTGCGTTGATTTCATTCTGATTCACTTTCGGTGTGACCAGAGGTCGAGTTATAAAAATTGCCTACTTCGATTTAACAGAGGCGTTCGCTGTTAACCAACCAATTGAAAATTTTATTGATAAAATATCTATAAAATAGTTAAATAAATTAAAAATTCAGGTGTAAGAAACTCAGTTAATTAATGCCAAGGCATGGGAGACCCCTTATACGAGAGAAATAATGGTTTTCCCTCGCTCGTTTTCCAACACTGCACCGCTTTCAAAGATGGCGTCACTTCAAACGGTGTCGTGAACGATTATTCTAGTTGCCGCTGAAAAAAATAATATTTCTCGCATAAAATATACCTGCCGGCCGCTTAAACCGATCGAAAAGCAAAGCTACTCCATTGCGGCGCGATTTGCAGCTAAAACTGTGGCAGTGCGGGCGCGATTTAACGCAGAAAACCCACAGCACAAAAGTCGGGCGAGTCGAAGTCGGGAATCTGCATCCGCATCTGAATATCTCAATCCGAATAGAGGTGTGTACGTAGTGTTGCGTCGCTTTTTCATTGGGAGCCCCTCGCATAGCTCGCCGTGAATCGCAAACATTGTGCTAAATTACATAAATAGCTAACGAAAGCCTAGCGAAAAGGACAAAAGGAGAATTCTATGGACAAAAGTAGGAATTCCTGAGAGAGCATAAAGAGCAACAGAGACGGAACGAGTCGATGACGATAGCCCTGTTTCTTTATCGCCCAGGAATCCATGCAGTATGACCGCGCTGCGCACCTACGGATATCTCACCTGCAGAGTGACCGTCTAAGGGATAGCGCAGCCGAGAGAGTGACGCGCAACAGCAACCAACAACAATAATAGTGGTGAGTGTGCGGCTACTATCTATTCTCACCACTCTCACCCAGAAATTGGGCACAGTGGTATCGAAATTTATTTGATTGGCCTCCAAAAAAAAAAAATTTACAAATGAGTAATCAGAATACAAGTGATTCGTGCTGGAGAAATGACTATAGGGTGGGCTTTTTTGCTTTCTTATCTGTCTTTTTGTTTCATATTCTGCCTGCTTTAAAAAAAAAAACGACAACAAATCAACAACAATAACAATACCAAAATTATTTTCATATACTTCTCATTTCTCTCTATAATCATGGCTGTGTGTGTGTGTTAGTTCTCACCTATAGTATATATAGCAGCGCGACTGGGAGAGTGTCAAGCACTTGCCGTCTAGAGAAAAAGAGAGAGTTCTCCCAATCGGTAAAGCATGTACGAACCGGGTATGGATAATGGATAAGTTTGTGGTGGTGCGCACGGATAAATGGCTAGCGAACTCGAACAAAAGCGAACTCGAAGATGCCCGTATGCCGCCTTCGTCGTCGGTTGGGTGCAAAAGATATAGATTCTTTTATATACACACCGCTCCTGCTACTGTCTCTGATATAGAACGCAGTCCGATTAATCGGTTTTTTTTGACAAAAAAAAATATTTGCAAACGAAACGGTACGGAACGGTCAAGTGAAAAAAAAAAAAGCGCAACCAAGTAAGCCGCCGCCAACCAAGTACAAGTTGAAGTGAATTTCGTGGCGAATGCTAATTTTTCAAGTGCGCAGTAAGCGGCTAAATCCCAGACGCAATTCAGTGGCCCAAAGTTTTAATAAATAAATAAATATGTAATTACACACTCTCTTACATACTCCTGCACTCTGATTAAAGCAGCAGCAGCAGCAGAGGCAGTCGCATACACGCACAAACGCAGCAGCGGCTACAATTGAGATTCGTTTGGATTTCGTCGTATATGCATATATATTTTTTACTTATATTATTTTTAGAATATCGATTTTGTTGGCCGCTGGTTGCTGCTGCTGCTTGTGTGTGTCTCTCCCAGAATGAGTGTGTGTGTATATGTATGTATTTATGATAAGTGTGTGTATGTGTGTGTGTGTGTGTGTGTGAGTGATGTCGGGCAGTAAAATGTGTTAAGAATTATGTTCATATAGACACAAGTTACCTAATCTTACTGCAAAAAATCAAAGGAACGGAATCAACAAACCGAAGAATAAAGAAAAATAGAAATAGCAGAGGCGAGGCGAGAAGAAGAGCCCATCAAAACAGCTGCGCTCTCTCACCTTTCTCCTCCCCCATTACCATTCCCATATTCCCATTCTCATTCCCATTCCCACACTCTCACACTCTCAGACTTTGTTCTGTGTGTTTTGCTTCGACACCGCATTTACATGTGTTGACCCCACTTGGACAGCCCCCCTCCCCACCACCCCTCTTCTCTTCGCGTTGTGCAAATTCTGTCGTGAACTACAGTTTTAATTCAATTATGTCAACTGCTATACCACACAGTCACAGTGCAACACCACGGGCCGTAAGCGAAGCTAAAATCTCCACATCTCCACTGAGAGCCGAGAAATCCACAGAGAAACTGAGACAGGTATGAGAGACAGGCAAGAGCAACGGAAGTTGGCCCACAACATGTCCAAAATTGAGACCATATCCGCTTTGGCTTTAACCCTAAGAAGACCTTATAAACTATCGGCTTTATGGTCCATCTCTAACTCTCATTCAAGTCGAGACATGCAAGCTTAGCTACTGGAGGATCTGCAGGGTTTGAAGTTCGAATTTTAAAAATAGATAAATTTTAATAAAAATAGACATCTAGGGTTAAGCTCCGCTCACAAACTGGTTCTAATTGATTGAGTGATTGAACCGAACCTGCTCTGAAAATTAACAAGTCACAATTGATACATAACATGCTACGTGTGGGGAGCCACGAAATTCGTCGAGCCTATTCGATATTCGAAATTAACGCCAAGGTGTTAAGAAGGTAAATCATTTGGGAGGACAAGGCCCTTGACACCTTACCTGCCACCACCTGCTGCAACACAATATCGGTTATGGATTGAGAGATAGATCAGTTTTAATGGCAGTAACTCGTAACTCGTAAAACTGAACGTGACTTTTCTGGTTCATTCGGGCCAGATTTCCAGTTTCTACCAACGATCGTTGAGCTTTTTTTTCGCAGTGTGTGTGTGAGTGTGTGCTCCACTACTGCCCCAGTGGGTATTTGTTTATTGTTTTCACCAAACTGGACTGGAACTGGGACTGGGACTTTGACGTCACGAGCCAACAAATGCCAACGAGTAGGAATGAAACCCCATAAATGGGTATCTGAGAGTACAAGATCTTTTAACTTTCAGCTAATATCTCAAGTATTTTAAAGACAACACTGCGTATGAGCAATTATTTGTAGAGTCTAGGCTGGTGGGGAGAGGTCATTCTATATGACCCGGGTCATTATTGAAAGAAAGTATGAGATCTTAGTGACTCTGTCTCTGCCTATTTGCACCTGTCTCTTGGTGCAGTCTCTTAATGACCACAAACCCTCAACCCTCCTCACTCCACTCCTTGGCTGTCTGTTTTGACATAACTGACCTCGCTTTCTGGCGTTTTATGTGCTTGGGGCATGGGCCTGGGCCCCCGTCGTTATGTGTGGTTTGTTATTGCTGGCTTTTACTTGCCAACTCCCCCTACCTCCCACACCCACATCCTCCCTGCCTGCCTGCCAACTTCTCTAAAAATAAACCCCATATTTCTCTCAACTCCATTCAAATCAAATTGATTTTCACTTCCCCGACGATGTAAACAATTCCATAAAATTGCAGCTATATCGAGTTCCAGTGAAATATCTGAGAAATGTACGTTTACGCGTAGTTCCTACTAACTTGGCTTATTCAGACTCACAAAATATTTACGTTGTTTGGCCAAAAAAGCTTTCTGTTTGTTTGTTTGTTCTGCGGGGCAGTTGAGAGTCCACCTCCACCGTGAGGGGAAAGAAATCAATTTTATTAGCCAGTTTGTTGGGAATGGAAGCTGCTTCTACTACTCCAGTGTAAACACACACATATTTCACAGCAGCAGCCAGGCCAAGTGGAGGGCAAATGTTTCTCTCATTATAATTAGATGATTGCCCTGTCTGACTTTCTGGCTGTCTGACTTACTGGGCCGAGCCCCAGATTTCAGCCTTTGGATGCCTTTGTTTTGTAAAATGTTTGCATTTTTTTCCATTCGCACGCCTCGCTAACGAGAGGAACAATCAGCTGGGCCAGTCAGAGTTCAGAGTTGGCTAAGAAAACACTGCCAGCAAGCCAGCCGCAAGCTGAAGCGATAAAAAGTCAATTAGACGGGGTAATGGGGGAATTTATTCAACATTTGATCAGCTGAAAGACAGGGCTCTAGTCTTTAAATCGAGGGTATTATTATATTGTACTATAAAATATGGAAATTCTTGATCACGTCGATATAAGCTCGATTTTTCTTGAACTAGCCTCTTAGTTCATCTGAAAAGCAGGGCTCTTGACTTTAAATAGAGGGTATTATTATATTATACTATAAAGTATAGAAATTCTTAGTAAGGATCATTGTCTGAGTCGATATAAGCTTGTCCGCGTGTCCGTATGGCTGTTTTTTACTAGTCCGTTCGTTCATCTGAAAAGCAGGGCTCTTGACTTTAAATAGAGGGTATTATCGGTAGGTAATAAAAAATGAGTAAATTCATGGTCAGGATCATAGTCTGACTCGATATAAGCATGTCCGTCTGTCCATGAGTCCGTATCACAGTTACTATTCGAGCTAAAGTTCATCTGAAAACCAATCCCTATCATTTTATAGAGGGTAGAATTATTTTATAGCACAAAGTATAAACATTGATTACCATGATCATCCTCCGAGGCGATATAAGCTTGTTCGCATGTCCGTGTGCCCTTATAACTCTTTTAAATCCAACTAGTCTCTATGTTTAACTAAAAAGCTCGGCACTTGTCACTAAATAGAGGTTACCATCGTTTTATACCATAATATATAGCACATCAGGTCATCGCCGGAATCAATATAAGCTTTTCCGCGTGTCCGAGTGTCCTTATGACTGTTTCTAGGTTTGTCATTTAATGGAGGGCACTATAATATTCTACAATAAAGTTTAGAATTTCTTGATCAGGATTATTATCTGAGTCGAAAAAGTCATGTCCGTTTGTCCGCCAGTCTATTTTTTAAGCTAACTAGTCTCTTGGTTTTCAAGATTTGAAAGAAAAAGTTCTGGACTAACTTTGTAAACTTTATATAAGAGATTGGTCTAGTTATAGAGAATACTAAGGAAATATGGTAAGACTGAGGCTACTATAAGACTATAAGAAATGGGTCTAGTTTCGGAAACTACTACAAATTCCTCCATTTAACTTTCGGGTATATAGACCCTCCCCACCCTCTAAAGAAAGCTTTCTATTCCTATTTTGGCTATAATTTTTTATTATTAGTCTATATTTATATCTATATTTAGTCTCCGGAAGCGTGTTGCCTGTCAAAAATCAGCCATTGATTGCGCTTTGAGGCCATTATCAACATGCACTTCGTGGGCATTGCTTCCAGAATTGCACCTGTCTCTTTAGTGACTATTTACTGTCATTTCTTATAAGTCTAAGCCATTCGCTTTGGTCTGAAATATATAATAAAGATACTATATTATACAGGCATTCGTCAGCACCATCCACTTACTTTTCAGATACTTTTTGTTTGAAATATTTTCACATTTTCTGTCAAACATTTGGCCGCCCGGCTCTCTGGTTTCCCTTTCCTTGGCTTTTGCGCCAATTAATGACGTTTCTCGAATATTTAAATATAGAAACCTAGAAATCGGGGGTATGCTGATATTTTAACGGCCCGTCGAGTGGCTGGGGAGGGGGGGGGCATTAAATAAATTTCCGCTTCTGCCGCCTTCCTTTTGAGTGCAATTTTATTTTCGAAATGATTTTAATTTATTTCGGATGGTATTTTTAGACTGATTTTAGATTTTCCTCAGAAGCTC